AAAACAGACCTCACAAAAATTATGAATCCAAAAATATAATATAAACAAACACCTCTTGGTACCTTTCTGCTGAACTAACGTACGAGTAGTCGTATATTTTGGGGATCTAATTTTAGATGGAAGAACCCCTGAACCATAGATACATTCCTCATATTCCCGGAAGAATATTTTTCTTCTTCCTCCACCTATCCTAGTCACATAAGATGTCTTATGTTTTATGCGTTCGCAACCTGGCGACGAAACGTGCGGTAGTTGGCGAAAATTAGAGAATCGTAAATGCGACTAACGCAGCTGGCAACGCTTCTAATCTTTTAAGTCGACTGTTTCGGAAGCTATAAAGAAGTTAAGAAAGCACTGGAGAAATTCTGCTTGTTTCGCAGTGCATTTGTGATTTCTGAATGCACCAGGAATTAAAACTAGGTTATTGCAGACAGTTTTGCGTTTTTCTTAATTCGTTATTAAAAAATTCAGGAACAGTTGAAAAAAAGAACACTGTTAAATATCATATGTTGTTAACTGTTACACTGTCAATAACGCGGTGTATGGCAAAAGCTCGCGAAATTAAAAATATTTATTAACATATATCACCCCTTATTCTTTTGTCATCTTATAAAGAGTATTTATAACAATATAAATATTGACCCCAGCTGCCTTCTTACGACTAGAAATCATGGACAAAGCCTTTTTTGAGGTGCGAAGGGGGTCAGTGAGTGATTCGTTTTCGACTTCGTTAGTTCGAAAGTCTTTTTTTTTTTTTTTTTTTTTTTTTTTTCCAACTATTCCATTTTAGAGAAGAGGGAGGTATCTAAGTTAGATGAATGAGGAGAATGGTGCACAAACGTCAAGGATGACAAAAACAGCTGCATAGCAAAAGCGATTGTAGTACAAATTTAGCAAAAATTATTCTCATTTCAGTTCGCTGGATGAAAATATCAGCTGATAGTTTTATTTTCTTGAAATGGTTAAAAAACCTTCTATGGTACGACTTCACAAATAAAAAAAAAACACTGAAAGATTTCAGAGGGACGTTTTTGTTTTTCACTTAAATAGACATACATGTTTCGAGAGCATTCGAGTTAATGTCCCTTTGGACTAAAAATATTTAAAAATAGTATATCATTAGAATTTCCTATAGACAGTCTCGCGCTCTAGAGATAATTTTTTAGTACGGTGTTGCCATTGCTCGCTTTGAAATCGCTGAGTTTTTTATTAAAAAATTCGTTAAATTATTACAAACTATGAAATAGGCAATAAAATAAATTGCAAATTCCGGCTTCCAGGGTCCCGTATTCGGGTAGAGTACTACGTTATTCAAAATTTGATAGCTCTGGGTACCGTTGTTTTTTCACGGTATAAGAAACATACATATATTCAGACCAATTTTCCATTATTTAATTTCTTTAAATATAATACAGGGCGATAATATTTGGTGACAACATTTTGAAAAGTGAAATGGACATTTATAGTGAACCGACGCAAAATGCCGTTTCGAGATTACAGGGTATACGCAGCTTGGTCTAGCTCCATGTATACGAAAGCAAAACAGGAGGGAGAAAATTAATAGAACCTTCTTTATGTTTCACGAATTTCTGAGTTGTAACTCACATGTGTAAACTGAAAATGCTGTGAATAACGATTTCTTGTATGATAACCATGCATTAAAAATGCATTTATTGTGTAAACATCATATTTTTCGCAAATAAAGTAATTTTATTCTATACTGCGTTTGTATTTGCATGTATAAAAATTTAATGTGGTTTTCTACATGCAGAAAGAGGAACAATAAAGCGAAAAAATTAAAATATTATTAACGGCTGTTATGGAAGGTTGATTTAACTATTTGTAAATAGTGTAATGATGTATTGGTTCATCAGGTGTTTTTCAGTCAGTATTAAAATCTGTGCGCGTCTGTCTGTTTATTTGTGGCAACGGAAGAGAATTCCGTTTTTGGAATTCCAAAAATTCGTGGGAAGCCATTTCGACCATTCTCTTCTTCGTACAACTTTAATTAGCCGAGATATTAATTAAAAACTCGGAAAAAACGTTAATTTTCGCCCTCATATTTCCGAGTGGCAACAGCCTCGCACGCTGGAGATAAAAATCTGCTTTTTTTCGAAAAGTGTTGCCACTCCACGCTTTCAGATCGTAGAGTTTCTTAATACAAAATTTCTATGTTTTACATAATATGAAATAAAAATAGCATTGCCAAAAATTAAATATATTATTCCCGATTCTAAAAATTCGTGGGAAGCCAGAAGCCATTTCAACAGTTATCATCTTCGAACGACTTTACTCAGCCGAGATATTAATTAAAAACTCTGAAAACGCTAGTTTTCGCAATTATTTTTCTGAGTGGCAACAGTCTTGCGCGCTGGCGAAGTCTGCTTTCTTTCGAAAAATGTTGCCACTACTCGCTTTCAAATTGTAGACTTTGTTAATAAAAAGTTTGTACGTTTTACAAAATATGAAACAAAAATAGCATTGCCAAACTTTACACATATTATAAGGTCATAATCTGGCGTGGGTAGAAAGAACACGATTGCATGTGACGTCATTGCATGTCGAAAATTGTTCATTACTGGGGTCAGCATTTTAAATAAATAGCTGTTGACAACTTTTTGTTTGAGATTAGTATAATTGAAAGCTATATTAATGTCACGTTAATCTTTTATTGATATTGAGAAAATGCTGTTATATTGCATTAAATTTAAATCATGACGTTACACGAAGTCCTGGTTACACGTATGAACCTGAAGTGTCAAAAGTTTTTTTTCCTGGTTTGGCATTAAACAAATATTTACGAATTGGTTGTTGCTTGGAAAGAATGTGAAATGTTTTTATTCATTTTCTTTTCAGGAGTATATAGAACTTACAAATTTTGCTTTGGCTTCAGCCCGCTAGTTTAAACATATAGTCATATACACATTTCATAGGTTCCTCAAATAAAAAACCTCAATCATGTATATCATTTTCGCGAGCTGTCAAGAATGATAATCGCTCTACCACAACAAAAACCAGTTCCAGCTGCTCATTTTTTTTCTCTCTTTTTTTTCCCCCCCGTCTCTTTCAGTAAATCTTATCTCTAGTTGCTAGATTGCGTGCAAATAAGATGTTGGCGTATTACATCAGCTGATTGGAATAATCTTATTGAAGAGGAGGCGTGCGTTGCACGTCAAGCGGACATGTAAAAAGGTGTAAAAACTATGGGAAAAAGTTATCTCCAATTTTATAAAATTAATATTATAAAATTAAAAGTAAGAAAGAAGTTCAGAATACATATGAGTACATCCTTGAAATAAGATATAAAATTTTTTTTTTAGTTCAAATGGGCGTTAGCCCTGAATTCTTGCCACCAAATATTATCACCCTGTATTATATTTAAAGTAACTAAATAATGAGGAATCTGGCTGAACGTATGTATGTTTCTCGCATTGTGAAAAAACGACGGTACCTAGAGTCAACAAATTAAGTAACGTGGTCCTCCAGCAGAACATGGGCACCTGGAAGCCCAAATTTGGGATTTCGAATTTGTTTTATTGTCTACTTCATGTTCTGTACAACTTTAACGAATTTTTTATTATAATGCTGAACAATTGCAAAGAGAGCAAAGGCGTTATTGTACGTAATAAAACATTTTTATCTCCAGCGCGACTGTCTATCACAAGTTCTAAATATATAGTGTTTTTAAATATTTTTTGCCCGTAGTGGCGTTAGCCCAAATATGTATGTGTCTGCAAGTGGAAAAAAAAACCGTCTGGGCATAAATATAAAATCTGAAAACTTTTTTTTTTTTTTTTTTTTTTTTTTTTTTTTTTTTTTTAAGGGTAGTAGAAATTAAGTATGAAATTGAAGACTTATAATCTAATTTCTACGTCGACCGTGAAAAGCTGGTTCTAAAATATTTCTGAGGTATTTATTTTAATTAACCAGTTGCTTAACATTCCGAAACTTTACTGTGGCTTCTACCTTTCCGTTTTCCTGCCAGAATGCAAATTCTAGCCCCCTCCATCACGCGTATTTAACTGGGGTTTGAGATTTAGTCACAGTGTGTTCCGCTTGTTGAAGGCGGCATTACTAGTTGATATTTTAAGATAGCATTTCTGTCAACGCCGTTTCTGGAATCTTGTAAATAGTGCCGGTGCGCTACAGCCAACTTGCGCTTAATATTTCTGTGTAGACTTTGCCTAATGAAAACTTAGTTTTAATTTTAAATTCTACTTTTCGATTTTACGCCATAAATGTTGGCTGATTTCTAAGCACCGTGAGTGCCTTCTGTTCAACTAATTGAGTTCTTATAAAAGAGTCTTTTACACCCTTCGTGCGTTTCTGTTTGCTTTTTAGAGATAGCTACAAGTCGCTTTGTTTCACTCAGGGTCTCTATATTTGCTATATTTCTCTTTGAAGAGCGCTATTAACTGTGATTAACTGTAACAGTAATTAGGTGAAAATTTATAAATTAAGAAAGAGACGCAAAGTGTTTAATATTTTACTCAAAATTGTTATGTTTCTCCATGAAAAGCTTTATTAACTCTGATTAAGTGTAACATTAATTAGATAAAAATTTATAAATTAAGAAAGAGAAGCAAAGTTTTTAATACTTTACTCAAAATTGTTATATTTCTCCTTGAAAAGCACTATTAACTGTGATTAAGTGTAATAGTAATTAGGTGAAAATTTATAAATTAGTAAAGAGACGCAAAGTTTTTAATATTTTATTTACATAATATTTTGTTGATGCTATTGGATTAATTATCATCCATGATACTCCCAAATGGCATGCTTGATGGGAATATTATTCAGATTTTAAATCAAACTCATAATCTACCATAAGTAATTCGACTTTATTCTTAATTTCCTTCCTTACGGTGCCTCAGAAAATCTTAATCCGAGCTCACGTAAAACTGGAAGTGATGTATTGCATAAATGTTTTAAGTTTCGAAATAAGAAACGCCACGAATTAAATTTCTTTGAGTACTCATGGCCATTTTTTATCTTTCCAGATGGGACTGCTGAAACATGAGTTAGAAAAAGAGAAAGAGCTTAGAAAAATTGCCGAAGACAAATTACTTGAGGTACTGGATAATGAAAAAAGAAAAGAATTGCAGAGGAAAGAGAAGTAAGATGATTATTTTTATCGTCTTGTGCTGCCATCTAGTAATTTGTTTGCGTATTATAGAGATATTTTCAATTCTTTATATTTAATTTTTACAACAGTGACATTAATTTCAAAGTAGGTATTCGTAATTTGTAAATTTTAGTTATTACTAATTTTTTAGCTTTTTAATTTTAACATTAAATAATTTATGATAATTTAATATTATGTGTATAATAGAAATTCTTCATCAAAGTGCGAGTTTTTAACCATTGATTGCATAGAAAAAATTTATATTTTCTATTAAAAATAAGTTAATGCAACTTAAAAGCACTTAACATTTTCTATCTTAAAAAGTGTGGAAGAATTAAACAAGTGTGTGCAATTAAAAACATTTAACGTATTTCTTTTTATGTGAGTATTTAATGTGAGCGAGAGGGAAATTTCCTATAATTAAACATATAATTTTTGCCCATTTGTAATTTGTGTTCCATTTTAACAGCTTAGTTGCAACAGTTCTAATGAAAATTTAAATAATGTGACTAATTAATAAAAAAATTAAGTAAACAAAAATTCTTCATTGCTATTTTAATATTAATATTAAAAAAAAGAATTTTTATTTTAATTAATCGGATCTATTATAGATATTTTAATATTTACGTCCACTCAAAAGATGTTAAATTAAATCAACTGTATCGAATTACGCCGTCGGTTACAATGTTTTCTTTAACCGTTCACTCACAAATGTCCCAGTTAGGAACTTTATAAAAAATATTCTTTTTTTTTTTTTTTTTTTTAAGATTTTTTACATAACACATTTATTTCGATTACGACCGAATAAAACCGATTTTTAAAATAATTTCTTTCACTGAAGGAATAATACATCATTATAAGCTATTCATCGTAAATTGACGATTAGGGGCAGTTCTGAGGAGGAATTCCTTGATGACGAAATTAAGAATATTTGCATGTTAATTCCTTAATGGAATTCCACTAATTAGATTTATGCATGGATAATATTAATGAATTTATTAACAAAGCTATGAGCTATTTGTGGGTGTTTCGAAATGGAAGGACGTGTAAAAAAAAGTGTAGAAATCCTTCCTTTCGTAGTACGTATGTATTTTTTCTGATAATGAATTAATAAATAATTCAAAATATTAATTAATTAATGAAATTAGAAATGAATTAATTAAAATTATAATTAAAAACGAAATAAACAATTAATCAAAAACGAAAAATAAAAAAAAAAACTTTGATCAAATTTGATCTGAATTCGATGTGTTAAATATTAAAACTAATATTACATATAACGTAGTTCTATATGCAGTAATTAAGTCTAGATCAACAAGCATTACATTTCCGTATTCAGCTATTTAGACACTGAGGTCATAAATTTGAAATACTGAAACCGAATTGAACAAATAGAATTAATAATTTTAATAGTTAATTACATTTTTTTAAAGTAAAGTTTTTAGTCCAAATGGCGTTAACCAGGAAGGACTATTAGTCACAAAACTGAATTTTGCGCTGAATCACTATAAAAGCCTGAACCATTTCTCAAATTGTTGCCACCATATATTATATTATCGTCCTGTATTATATTTAAAGAAATTAAATAATGAAGAATTTGCATACATGTTCCTCGCATTGTGAAAAACAATGGTATCTAGAGCCACCATATTTTGAATAACATAGCCCTCCACCAAAATATGAGCATCTAAAGCCCGATTTTGGAATTTGTTTTATTTGTTTTTCTGTGTCGGCGCAAAATGAAAAGTTTAAAATCAATAAATATGATTTTATTTGTAGCATATATTTCAGGACGAATCAATAAAAAAAACACATTTTCGTAACCATAAAAACTAAAAAACAATTATCTTTTAAAACTGTAGATAAAGAACGTAAGTATGTCAAACATTGTTCTTTATCAAAAAATATTTAGTTCGGGAAAACAATTTCAAGTATGTAATTATTACGTACTTGAAATTGTTTTCGAATTGCGTAAGTTTAATCTATAATTTTTATTATTTTTCTCAAAATAATTATTGTCACCTTTTTGTAATTCAGTTTGATCATATTGGTTTGTTTATACTTTTATATACAACTTGCTGCAAGATATATATTTACAACATTAATATTGTCGATTTCATATTTTGTAAGACTTTAACAAATTTTTGATAAAAAAACTCAACTATTCCAAAGCGAGCTGGGGCAACACTTTAAGGAATAAAACATTTTTATCTCCAGCGCGCGAGACTGCCTATCGAAAATTCTAAAGATATGCTGTTTTTAAATATTTTCAGTCCAAAGTGGCGTTTACCCAAATGCTCTCGAAACGTAACGTGTATGTTTCTGTAAACGAAAAAAAAAAAAAGTCTGTGGACGTAATATAACATTTGCAAACCTTCAGATTTTTTCATTTGATTTAGCTTAAGTAACTCAGTTACTTAAAATATTTGAAAAGGAAATAAAACACGCCAAAGTAGAATTTAAAGCTGAGCAAGAATGCAACATTAGTTTCGTGTAGATTTTGGATAAGATTGGAGTAAATTTTAATAAAGAGTTTTATTCAAAATCTACAGCAAGCAAATCTATGCCAAACTATCCGTGCTTTTTTGCATAATTTAAATTTGAGTTTCTTTCAACTCTTTTTAAAGGAAATCAATAAAACATTTTTTGCCTAAATGTCTTTGGCATTAATAATTTATCAGATACTTAAAGCTTTGTTTAATATAATGCTTCAATGCTGTGTCGACGCAAAATGAAAATTTTAAAATCAATAAATATGATTTTATTGTAGCAAATATTTCAGGAGGAATCAATCAAAAAAATAACACATTTTCGTAACCATAAACACTGCAAAACATTGTTCTTTTAAAACTGTAGATAAAGAAGTGTAAGTATTTCAAACATTGTTCTTTATCAAAAAATATTAAGTTCGTGAATACAATTTCAAGCATTCTTCTTTATTAAAAAGAGTATTTAGTTCGGAAAAGCAATTTCAAGTACCATTAAATTATAATTTATATTATTTTTCTCAAAATAATTACTGTCACCTTTTTATAGTTTATTTCGATCATATTGGTTTGTTTATACGTTTATATTATACAATTTGCTACAAGATATATTTGCACCATTAGTATAATATTCCATTAATTAAAACATATGTTGTATAAATGTTAGCCGAGATCATAGTTGCGTCATAACGTATAAAGATAAAAAACATTACTCAAACAATTTAAATAAAACTCAAACTTTATTTCTTTCGTTTTATTAGTCCAAAGGTTTAATAGTCCCTGAAGGACTATTGTTTTCGTTTTGCGATTTTGCGCTGAATCACTATAAATGTCCGTTTCACTTTTCAAACTGATGCCACCAAATGTTAGAGTCCTGCATTATATTTGAAGAAATTAAATAATGAAAAATCTGCAATCTATTTCTCGCATTGTGATAAAACAACGGTACGTAGAGCCATCCAATTTTGAATGACGTAATCCTTCTACGAATATGAGCATGTGGAAGACTAAATTTGAAGTTTGGAATTTGTTTTATTGTCGATTTCCTATTTTGTAAACCTTTAACGAATTTTCGAGTAGCAAACTCAGCGATTTAAAAGCAAGCAATGGCAACACTCTACGGGCAAAACAGAAACCATTTTTATCTTCAGCGCGCGGAACTGTGGATCGGAAATTCTAAAGATAAGCTCATTTAAAAATTATTTTGCGGCATTGCTATTCAACTGAATTTAATGGTTTAAGTGTAAAGAACATGATATTTAGTAAATAAAGGTAACACACTAAGCGTTAAAAAACGCCCCTATGGACGTAATTTAAAATCTGAAACCTTTCAGTGTTTTCCTTTTACTACTAACTTACTACTACTTAGAAAGTAATTATAATATGCATAAATTTCAGAATCCTCTGCTCTGCCTGCAGGTGAGGTAAAGTAGTTGGAGAATTTTCCCATCATCTTGAATCTTCAGGAAATAAAGATTCAACTATTTTCAATGCTTAGATGTTTCTAATAATTATGTTCCTGAAACCTACGTTATATAAGTTATTTATAGATATTAATTTTTCTTTTTGTCCAACGCTGAATCTATTTTCGGAACCCGTTTTACACGACGAGCCGAAGTTCCTCTCGAGTGGTTTGGTAGTTGGAGATAAAGAGTGGAAGACCCATGGATCCGTATTCTGGGTGATTCCTCCTCAAAACTGAGGCGGAGCTGGTCGAAGTCCTACTGTCATCTATAAGGAAGCATTCACACGATGGCTTAGTCGTCTTTATTATCCTAGTCCTAAACGCCGTTTACATTTGTGGAACGTTACATTTGTGGAACATTACATTTGTGGAACATTTGTGTTACATTTGTAGAACATTTGTGTTACATTTGTGTTTGTTTACAAGGTTTAAACCATAGCCAATCAAAAAAGGTATAAGTGAAACTGCACATATGTAAATGTTTACCTGACTTAGCGAAACCATTGACGGAATGGCAGGTCATGTTTGCTTCGCTGTGATTGGTCGGTTGTTATACCAGTAAGCTGGCGTAAAGTCGAAAAGTTAGAATATTTCGGCAAAATCTTTAAATCAGTTTTTATGACGAAGAAAGTCTGTGACAGATGCTCCTGAGGTAAGGTAACTGAGTTTCCTTAAAATGATCAAATAATTAGTAAATCAGAAGTGAAACACGCCAAAGTGAAATTCAGAATTAACAAAGAAATAACCTTGCAGTTGGCGTAGTTTTATGGTCCAAATCTACGCCAAGTACAAGGTTGTTTCTTTGTAAATTTTGAAATAACTAATAGTTTGCTCACACAAAACCTATTAGCTTAAAAATGGCTAGATAAAATAGTCATCTTAAAATCATTTTCCTGAACACATCATTTTCTAAGATGTCAGATTACAGTACAAAATATTTCTTAAATATTACTTCTATTTCTCATCAACGACGTGTCTTCATAGAATGCAATTTTGTAAATTACTTGATGATATGTGTAACGTTTCGTTTCTTTTCCTTG